TGGGGTGTCCTGGGGTGGGCACTGGGTGGTGTGGGGGGGTCCCTGGGCCGCAGGAGCGTGCTGAGCGTGCTGTGTTCAGTGTGCCAGGTGATCGGCATGTACGACTACACGGCGCAGAACGACGACGAGCTGGCCTTCAGCAAGGGCCAGATCATCACCGTGCTCAGCAGGGAGGACCCCGACTGGTGGAAGGGCGAGGTCAACGGCCACGTGGGGCTCTTCCCGTCCAACTACGTGAAGCTGACCACGGACACGGACCCCAGCCAGCAGTGTGAGTGCCCCTGTGTGTGTGTCAGGTCAAACATGCAGCATTGCCGGCTCCGGGGCTCGCAGGCCCCGCCGCCCCTCTGTGCCCTCGGCCGAGTCTCTTTGAAGACCTTCCTAGCGCAGCCCTTTGTGTTGGTTTATTTTCAGTTCCCATCCCCCCCACACACCCCCCAATCCTGGCATGTTTTCCTTCCCCTTCCCCTCCCCCCTCCCCAGGTCATTTTTGCTCCATGCCCTCGACACGCCTGACTCATTTTCCTTGCTTGAATTTGCTCATTGTTTTGTTTTGCTTATGTGTTGTTTTCCTCCTTTTTCTAGGAATCATATGTTGTCCATCCCCCACTCAGGCTTGAAAGTCCTCAAAGAGACCCACTATCCCATAACACTGCCCAGAGGGATGATGGGAGATGCAGCCTTGATCATGTGGCTTCCAGCATGATCATCTACTGCCTTCTGAGTAGAAGAACACACTGCAGAGCAGTTTTACCTCATTTTTCCATTAGTTGCATGGAATCGCAATGGTTGAGTTCATGACCTGCAGATAGATGCAAAAATTAATTACTCAAAAAACAAAAAACAAAACCGCACACACACACAAAAATAAAATTTAAAAAAAAATATATATATACAAATCAGAGGATAGTGGGTCCTTTTGTGGCTTTCAGAGTTACCAAACTAATGTTTCCACCTTTGCACAGGTGCTTTGGGTAGTTTTAAAACAATTATTTTTTAAAGATATATTTTAGCCTTTGGAAGGAGAAGTATAAATTAAAATTTCTTCATTGCAATTTTTTTGGTTGTGCAAAAAGACCCACTATCAAGGAATGCTGCATGTGCTATTAAAATTGTTCCAAATGTCCATGAATTGGAGACTTTATGTATCTTCCTTTTTTTATTGTTCACTTGTCCAGTGTTGTCAATATGTCTCTTTTTTATTTTTTTTTTCTGTTTTTTTTTGTTTTGTTTTGTTTTTTTTTGTTAATGACAAAAGACCAGAAGGAGTTCAAATGAGTTCAATGTGCCCAATGCCAGGTATTTTGGTGTGGTTATTGTACTGTGTGTATCAGGTGTTCCTTGTTGAGTGTGTAACCCATCGGGGGGAGCAGAAACCCCTGCCCGTGCCCGAGAGCCGAACTGGCGAGACGTTCCACCCGCTTGTGTGATTTTATTTTGCACATTTGCTGTAGCTGCAAACGGTCAGAACCCCCTGGTTTGTGCTGTGCCCTGTGGGTTGGCTGCGTTTCTGTGCCAGCAGGACCCTCCTGGCCCGCCCTGGGCACTGGGGCAGCTCCCGGGGCCGCTTTGCTGGGGAACAGCACAGTTTGGAACGAGTCCTTTTCCTGACAACAAAGAATGTATAGAACTATCTCCCTGCAATTAATTTCCAATGTTTACATTTTTTTAAACTAGACTGTGGAATTTATACGAATTAATATGAAATGGAGCTTACAGTGGAGTTGCTGTAGATGTGCTGTAGCTAAGCCTTGTTAGTTCCTGGTGGAATTCCTGGTGCTGTCAGTGCTCTCCTCCCGATGCCTCAAGCACAATGTAGCCCTTTACTAATGATTTCCCGTTTAGTTACGCCCTGGTTCTGTGTTTCATTTACTCCTGACCCCTCTGCTGGCAGCATTCCCACCCCGACCCGTCCTGCGGTGCAAAGGACAAGTGAAGCTCCTCATTCAATTGCACTTCAGTATTTCATCACTATGAATGTAAATTATATAAATATATAAAAACCTGCAGCTTTAACAACTGTAATACAGCCTTTAAAATTAGTTCCATGTATAGAGAATTAAATCCTTGGTATAAAAGACAGACCCACACGTGTTTGTTGTCTCGTTGCTGCCTCGCCCCGGGGCATTGGAGCGTGGATGGACTGGCCACCAGAACAGCCTGGAAAGCCCTTTTCGCTTCACTGGGACACTCTGAGTATTATTTAAATATATTTAACTAATCCAAAATCCTCTGCAAGCTTACTGCTCATGGTGGGATTGTTGGGGTGTCCTGGGCAGGGCCAGGGGCTGGACTCCATGATCCCAGGGGATCCTCCCAGCTCAGGAGATCCTGGGATTCTGTGATTCCCTGTTCCAGGGTCTCTACATGGTACAATTCCCTTGATTTTTATTTTTCTGTACTATGCAGGCAGATAAATGAGATATCCTTCCTTGTTCTCCCATGGGCTTGCCTGGATTTGGGCTCAGTGTTTTAGTCTGAAAATTTGCACAATTGCACTGATCCTCCTCCTTTTTAGAGCAGAATTTAACAGGCACACAATTTTCATTAGGATAGCATTTCACAGGCAGATTTTTCATAAAAATAAATAATTCTTCTCCGTGGTGCTGCAGAAAGGGAACAGCACCTCATATCTGTGATTCTCAGGGCCCGTTGCTTTGCTCACTGAGGAGGATGGAGCCAGATTGGACCCCCCCTCTGCCAATCTTTTGTGAATTAAACGTCACTGGAATGACAGGATGTCTCTGTTTTCCCACACTGAGCTGTGGGGTTGAGAAATTCACTTGACTGAAAGCATTTCTCCTGAGGGACTTTTTGGGTTTTCTGGCTTCACCCAGAACTTTGCAGTGAACAGACAGTGAATGTGTGGACTGTGGAGTGCACAGACAGTGAATATCCAGGGAAGTGTTTGCAAAACTTCAGCTGGGGGGGATTCAGGTGCTGCTGTTTTCTTTCTCATCACTTCAAGTGAGAAGGAAAATAAAGCTCTTACAGCCTCCTGCAGGATGATGTTTTGAAGATGTTTTGAAGATGTTTCTCCCAGCCCATGGATCCCCCTGTGCCCCATCCCCACCTTGTCCCCCAGCCCAGAGCACTGAGTGCCACGGCCAGGCCTGCCTTGGACACCTGCAGGGCTGGGCACTCCAAACCTCCCTGGGCAGCCCCTGCCAAGGCCTCACCACCCTTTCCAGCAACAAATTCCTCCTGATGTCCATCCTGAAGCTCAGGAGCCACTGGGGTGGGTTGTGCCAGGACTCCTCAGGCAGAAAGGTGTAAAGTCCCATCACTGAACATGTCCCAGGCAAAGATGCTCAGCTGTGATTTACAGTGACATTGTTGGAATGCCTGTAATGTTCATCCATGGTTCCAGTTCCAGTTGTGCTCCCAGAGCTTGGCAGGGGAGTGTTCCATCGTCCTCACCATCAGGGATTTCCCTGAGCCGTAGGGAACAAGACACTGCACTGGCTCCTTTGCCTTTCTGCATTTTCTGTGTATATATACACATAGATATTAGATATGAGAGAAAGGGAGTATGAAAGTTATTCCCAGAGAAGCTGTGGCTGCCCCTGGATCCCTGGAAGTGTCCCAGGCCAGGTTGGACGGGGCTTGGAGCACCCTGTGCTGGTGGAAGGTGTCCCTGCCCATGGCAGGGGTGGCACTGGATGAGCTTTGAGGTCCCTCCCAACCCAAACCATCCTGGGGTTCTGTGAATTCATTCTTTAAATTCACTGCCTTGTCCTGGGCACAGGAGCTGCCACTGGAGGGATGAGGAGCCTGGATTTACAGACCACTCCCAGTGCTGGGGGATTTTGCTCTTCCCATTTTTTTCTGTATTCCAACTGCTGAAAACAAATTCCCATGGATGTTCTTTCAGGGAATTTGTTTGTATCTCTTTCAGTACTTGAAATCTGTCCAAAACAGCTCAGAGTCTGAAATTTGTGGGTTTGTCAAGAACATTTTGCTTTATATTTGGGCTCAGTTTTATTTAAACCTCAGTCTTTTTGGAGCTTCAGTGGCACCACTTTTTGTCCCCATGAGCTCAGTGAACACCTGCTGTTACCATCACCTAAATAATTCTGGGGCTCTGGTTTTAAAGCCCTTTGTAGAGCTCTGTGTGACTGGCTCTGGCTGTTGGATTTCTTGTCAAGCAGCAGCCTCTGTGCAGTCTCTCCTGATGACAGTGAGTGCCTTATTTCAAACTTTTTGTTTGACAACTCCACCAAATTCAGGGACAATGCTCATCAAATATTATTGAATCAGATGAATTGACACCAACAGCAAATAACAAACTGCTCCTTGGCTGAGCAGGGAGTGCTGAGGACACCCCAACCCTCCCCCCTGTCCCTGAGAGCGTTGCCCAAACGCTCCTGGAGCTCTGGCAGCCTTGGGGCCGTGCCCACTGCCCTAGGGAGCCTGGGCAGTGCCAACCACCCTCTGGGGGAAGAACCTTGTGCTGAGCTCCAACCTGAGCCTGCCCTGGCACAGCTCCAGCCCTTCCCTGGCTCCTGTCCCTGCTCCAGGTGATGGCTGGAGGGCTGCCCAGGAAAGGGGAAACCAATAAAATATTGTTTGATAAAAGGTTTGAACACTGGATTTAGCTCCCACATTCCCAATTCCAAGGGAAGAGCCTGTACACCCCTTGATTTTCACGGCAGACCCTCTGGAATTGGGCTGGGCACTTCCCTGGCTCTGTGGCTGCTGCTCGAGGCTCATCTGCTGGTTCTGCCCATCAGTGCTCAGGGCTCCTAACTCAGAGGTGAGATTTAAAGTGATGTGGGAGGAACCAAGCCAGGACAGGGTTAGCTCTGCTGGTTGATATTTCTGTGCCCTCACACCTAGGGTTTTATTCTTCCCAGGCAGAGAAAGATCTGGAAAGGGATCACTAGAAACATGGAATCATGGAATCATTAAGGTTGGAAAAGAGCCTTAGGATGACATCAAGTCCCACCCTCAGCCCACCACCACCACGTTCACCATCAACCCACACCCCCAAGTGCCACATCCACACGTGTTTTGAACACTTGCAGAGGGGGTGATGCCACCAGGCTGGGGGGGTGTGGAGATGGTTGAAAACATCCCTTCAAGCCAAGGCCATCAGATTCTTTGAACAGTAAATTCCAAAGGGAAAAATAATTAAACACTTGGCTCACTTTTCATGAAGCCAGCAGTGCATGGGGAGAGCTGGTCCTGTTCCTCAAACCTCTGATTTTCCCGATACCAAAGAAACTGCTCTGAAATCAGGCATTTATTAAACAGAAATGAAACCTGTGGCTTCTGCAACGGGCCAAAATTTGCCTGTTTTGGCATAAAGATGATAATTCTCCAGAGCTGCTTTTTATTTCAAGCCAAGTTTCAATTCAGTTTCAATTGGCAAGGGCTGTGACGTCCTGAATCTCAAGGGATCATCATCAACATGTGTTGCCAGTTCTGATCCCTCCCCAGCTTCAGAATCAGAGGAAACAACCTCGAGTGTCTGTATCTACTTTTCTGGGTTTATCTGGTTTGATTTGGGGGTTTTTTTGTTAATTTTTAAGTCAAATCTCTCGTTCCCTTTTCAGGAGCAGGGATGAGTTAAAGCAGCCAGTGATGGCATTCCATGAAAATAAGGGGGATACACGAGGGCCTTTTTAGTGGCACAGTCTGAGCTCCTGAATTACATTCAGGAAGCTAAAAATGCAGTAAATACTCCCTAAATATTAACTTTATATGCAAAGAACTGGAAGGGTTGTCCAGGGTCTGATGTTTCCAGAAGGAAGGTTTGTTTCCATGGGGAATATACTGAATTTACCCAGCCTTTGATGAGGGGTGAGGGAAAGAATTAAACTGCAGAATTTTTGGTGGTATAAAAATAGTTGAAATAAATCATTTGTACAGGAAAACTTTCCCCCCCCTGTTTGAAAGCACCTTTGCTTTTTTGAAATGTGTTGTATTTTCTGCCAAAAAGTAGTAAAAATAGTCAAAACTGGAAGACAACACTCTGTGTTCCAGAACACGCTGTGTTCTCAGAAGAACTGCATTAAACTCACCTGAAAAGTAACAGCCTAGAGAAAAAAAAAGGAAAAAGGATTAAATGTTGGGTCTAATTCAGCATAGAAAATAAAACTTGAGATTGTGGAATTTGTACAAAAAGTCTCCCAGCTACACAGGGGGTGATTTACAGCAGTTAAGGGACAAAACTGATGAAGTGAGTTCGTAGTGACAGCCTTTTCCTGTGCTTCCAAAGGAGAACAAACTCGACCCCTTTGCCTTGGCCTTGAAATTCGGGAAATCTGAGGGGTCTCCAAAGGCCTTCCTGGGCCTTCAGATATTCAGTCCTTCAAACATGCAGAAGCAATTTTTTAATTGGTTAATTTGTTAATTTAATTTTTGAGTGGGAAGGGGTAAATAAGCTCTGCAGCACCTTCTAGAGTGGGATTTCCCTGACTGGAAGGCTGAAGGAGACCCTGGAATTCAGAGGATCCGGGAGCAGAGGGACCCCACGTGTGACGTCATTCCAAAGTGCCATGGGAGTGTTGTGCTCACCGCAGCTCTCCCCTCATCCTCTCCCCTTTGGGGATGTCTCTGTGGTTTCTTCCCACCCCAGGAGGTTCTTGCCCCCGTTTTTGTTCCCAGCCATCCACGTGGGATTGGTTTGGGCTCCGTGGAATGACGAGGGTGGGAATGGGCAGGTGGCCCCGAGGGGGGTTTAAAGCTTGGCCACCAGAGAAAAGTTCACACTTAGAGAAGGCCTTTGATCCAAAAAGGTGTCAAACCAGTGCTGTGAGTGGCCCAGAGGGGAAGCACCGCTGAGGTTGTGCCCTTACCTGTGAATGAGCGAGCGGGACGGGCGCAGTTCCCGGGCAGCGTTGCTGCAGCTGCTCCAGTCTGAGTCACTTTGTCAGGAACCATCAGTAAACCCCGGGATCCTGTTGTGTTTTGCAGGGTGTGCAGACCTGCACCTGCTGGACATGCTGACTCCTACGGAGAGGAAGAGGCAGGGCTACATCCACGAGCTCATCGTCACCGAGGAGAACTACGTCAACGACCTGCAGCTGGTCACAGAGGTGAGGCAGGGACCCAAATCCCTCCCCCTGAGCTAAACCAGCCACTTCACCGTGCCCCCTTCCTGGCTGTCCCTGCTGGGCTTGGCTGCCCCTGCCCTTGAGGGGTATCTGTTCCTTCAGGGATCCTTCTGAGATCCCCGTGTGCGGGTGCAGCCCACGCTGAGCCCTGCTGCGACCGTCACCAAAATGCTGATGTGGGAAGTGTCATTTTAGCAAAGCTCCTGATTCTCAGTGTGGATTTTTCATGTCCAAGTCCTTAAACTGAAATGGCTGTCCTGAAAGGAAGCCCATTTTCCACGCTTACAGTGCCCCTCAGTTATCACTTGCTGTGGTTGCTTTACGTGTTCCAAGGGACATCCCTGAGATAGGAAACAATGGAATTGGCACAGACAATCTCCTGACAGAGAAGCAAAGCCCTGTTTTGGAGAAGAGGTCAAGATATGCAAACCTGAGACACTCTGAGAGAAATCAGAACTTCCATAAGAGTCCAAAGGAAAACATATTTCAGGTGTATTATCTAAGAGTCCTTTTGCAGGAGACCCCTCTCTAAAATTCACAGGTTTCAAACAGATTATCCAGATCAGAACTAACATTCCCAAGTTTCAAACAGATTCTCCAGGTCTGAGTGACCACCACCAGCACCACAAATTCCGAGTATTCCCTGTTAAAACCACACGCCCCTCACATCCCTGAGGTCTCCCCTTAGTCCCACCCATTCTCAGGGAACATAGAGGGTGTCTGGGACACGGAGCAGGGTGGAATTCTGTCCCCCTGAGGGACAGGTGCTGCCCTGATGGCAAGTTATCTCCCCTCCTCACTAAGGAAATAGGCCCAATCAGCCTCAGTCACCTGGGTTATACATGGACATTCTAAATGGCTTCCTTTTTCTGACCCTCCAGATCTTCCAGAAGCCACTCCTGGAATCTGAGCTGCTCACAGAGAAAGAAGTTGCCATGATTTTTGTTAATTGGAAGGAGCTGATTATGTGCAATATAAAACTACTGAAGTAAGTTGGGTTTTTCCCCCGTACCTGGCAATAACAGGACCCTGGGCCTCTGCCCTGCTCCTCCTTCCAGCTGCAGGAAAACACTTGCCACGTACACAACTCGTAATCAACAGGGCCACGTGTTTCTCCTTGTGGGAGAAAGCAAAATATGAACAGTGTTTGCTGTGACTTTGTTGTTGTTGTTGTGGAAAACCCAGCAGTTCTCTGCTGAGTAAATATCTGCACGCACTTTCTTCTTGTCCGTGTTCTCCCCTGAGAAGCAGCATCTGCCAAGGCCTCCCCCAGCCCTGGCACAGGCTTTGGCCTCCTCTGTGCCAGCCCACACCACTCCAGTGCCCTTATCCATGACTGCAAACTAAGGCACAGCAACCTCTGTTACCGCTCTTATTCCAAGCTGGCACCTGCATTCCATTAATTAGCGTGGCCTTTAATTAGTGTAGGGTTATAGCACCTGAATGTGCTGGCTGGGGAGGAGCAGGAATTCTTCCTGGCCAGGAACTGATGGATCCAGTTCCTCCCTCTGCTCCAGCAGGGCACAGGGATGCTGTGGCTGGTTTGCAGGCTGCTCACCTGCTCACTGCCAGAGAACCTGAGCGGGGAGGGAGTTAAACCTGTGTCCTGAGGAGCAAGAGGATTAATAAAATTCTTTTTTCCCCCCTAATGAGCTGCTACTTTTCATTGAACTTACAGGGATTTTATACCTCTGTGATATCTCAGGTTTTTGGTAAAACCTCTTGAAAAGGGCCCACAAGTTGAAGAGTTTTGGCAGTGACAGGACAAATGACAATAAACCTCCTTCCCTTGGGAAACCAGGCTAAAGCCTGGAGAAGTAGCTTTGAGCTCACTGATGTTTTCTATCCCTCCCTCTCTCACACATCAGTTCCTCTCTCTCTAAACTAATAGAAAAGGAAATTACCTCCCTTTTTATATCAGATCTGATCTGGCTTTGCATTAAAATAGTGTCCAACAGCAGGTGGAGGGGGCTCTGAGAGGACAAGGTGCTGGCTGGGGGTGCAGCCTCCACTGTTGAGTTCCTGCCATGTGCCCTCTGAGCCTGGGGGCTGGGCTGCTCGTGTGACCCCCCTGGGACCCCCCTGGGACCCTTTGTGACCCCCCTGTGCCCCCTGCCTGGCAGGGCCCTGCGGGTGCGGAAGAAGATGTCCGGGGAGAAGATGCCGGTGAAGATGATCGGGGACATCCTGACGGCCCAGCTGCCCCACATGCAGCCCTACATCAGGTTCTGCAGCTGCCAGCTCAACGGGGCCGCCCTCATCCAGCAGAAGACGGACGAGGTGCCCGAGTTCAAGGAGTTCGTCAAAGTAAGAGCAGGAGCGGATGATCCCGGGGATTCTGCGCTCGGGGCTTTGCCTCTGCCTGAGCGGGGTCACACCTGCACTGGGGTGTTCAGCTTTGGGCTCCTCGCTTGAGAAGGGACACGGAGGGGCTGGAGCGTGGGCAGGGAAGGGAAGGGAGCTGGGAAGGGGCTGGAGCAGCAGGAGGGGCTGAGGGAGCTGGGGGGGCTCAGCCTGGAGAAAAGGAGGTTCAGGGGGGACCTTCTGGCTCTGCAAGTCCCTGCAGGAGTGGTCAGGCCTTGCAATGAGTGTCCCAGGGAGGTGGTGGAGTCCCTGTGTCTGGGAGTGTCCCAGAGGTGTCTGGATGTGGCCCTTGGGGACGTGGATTAGGGGGGATTGTGGTGGTGCTGGGTGAGGGGGCACTGGGATTCTTACACAGACAAGGCAGGTGAAGATCTGCTGGAAAAGCAGGAGGAATTCACTCCCCTGTGAGCTCAGCCCAGCTTTAGCCGGGGATGGGCGCTCGTTTATTGCCTTTTCCTGTCTCAGAGGAGCTCGTTTTCCCGGGTTTACACCAAGAGACTAACCAGGTTTTACCTCTCTGATGTTTCAGAGGTTGGCAATGGATCCTCGCTGTAAAGGAATGCCACTCTCCAGTTTTCTACTAAAGCCTATGCAACGGGTAACCAGATACCCACTAATCATTAAAAATGTACGTCCTGTGCACAGCCCGGGTTTGCTCTGCTTGGCTTAGAGCTGCATTAGGGGCACTGCCCCTGTTTGTGTCCAGCTCTGTCACTGTGGGATGTCAGATGTGCTGGGGAATGGGGGGGTGTCCTTTAATGTTTGATCCAGCTACAGAAAATGGGCTGATTCCTTGGCCTTCAGCAAAACTTGGCGTTTCCATTTGAAGCAGAGGTGGGACTTGCACCCAAAGAACCACAGGGCAGCGAATGCTGAAGGAAAACTTCAAATTCTGCTAACAGGAGTCAAGCTTGTGCTCATATTTCCCTTTTCCACAGTGTCATTCCCTCCCCACAGGCTGGGAAATGACACAGTGGGGAAGCCTGGAAGCCAAATTCCTGCAAGTTCCCATCCTTTGACACTGCTGGATAACTTACAACCCTCTCCTAACTCTCATTTGCTGCCTAACACTGACCACCCCAAATAATGCCACTGAACGTGGCCCAAGGCTTTCCAAGGAAGGGGCTACAAATTGGATGTTGGCATTTCAGAGATTCCTTCAGATGTCATGGCCACGATTTCTGTATTTGGCTGGAATGTGTGTCCCTGTGTGAGAGGAGTCAGCAGTGTCCTGATGCAAAGGCTGTGCAGGCAGGGATTCATTCCAGCTCTTCCCAAGTAGTGTTTGTCTCCTATTTCTCACCTGTCGGGGAGGAAGAATATTTGGAGCGCGTTGTCTGGAAATAAAGCCCTAGAACGGAACTGTGGGGTCGGCAGTGCAAATCCAGCTGGACTGCAGCAACAGAGCGGCCTGACAAGGTGGTTTGTGTCTCTGCAGATAATAGAGAACACTCCTGAGAACCACCCTGACCACAGCCACCTGAAGCACGCCCTGGAGAAGGCCGAGGAGCTCTGCTCCCAGGTCAACGAGGGCGTGCGCGAGAAGGAGAACTCGGACAGGCTGGAGTGGATCCAGGCCCACGTGCAGTGTGAGGGCCTCTCCGAGGTAAACCAGGGCTCCCCAGGGACCTGCACGCGTGGGCAGCCTCGGGAACAGCCCACAGCTCCCTCATGGCACTGCATCCAGGGCAGAGAGCGGGACTGAGCCGGTCTCAGAATCCCCGGGCCTTCGTTTTCCCCCTTCCTTTTCTCCCTCTCGCTCCTGCACGTCACCCTTTTTGCTGCTCGTGTTCTTGCCTTCCCCCCGGTAGATGCTGCTTTGTTGCCTGGCTCTGGACTGGTCCCAGGTTCAGTGCTGCAGTTTTCAACCACAGCTCTCCACTTTCACAGTTTTTATAGCACGGTGGTTGTGGAACTGCTGTGTCCCACCACCCCAAAGCTATTCCTGACCACTCTGGAGTGCTTTTTAAAGGTCATCACAGAACAGATTTTCTGTGGTAAAGCTTTGTGTACGTTTGAAAACTCAAGAATACTGATCAGGTCTCTCTGGAGACTTTACAGAGAGAGTCCCTGCCTCCCATTCCGTGCTATTTTTTCAGGTAACATGCTAAGTTTCACTAGAAACTGCACTGAAAACATTGTGTCTGTGTGTCCTGCAAAATGAGAGGGGGAAAGTTTTGATGGCTTTCCTTTGGTGGTGATGATAACAGAGGCAGACAGATCACAACTTGATTTTCAAAGTACGCACCAAGTTTTCAGTTCTAGAAGGTAAAAAAAATAACAAGCACTGGTTGGTTTACAAACTAGAAAAACATTGTATTTCCCCTCCGGAAATCTGACTGTTTGGGGAGAGGGATGAGTGTGACAAGGTCAGAAGGGTCACAGACATTCAGCTGTGGGACAACCCCTGCCTGAAGGAAGGCGGCTGCTTTTATCTTCTGTGGGCAATGTCTGGCCCTAGAGCACCAAATCCACAACCTGAAAGACCCTCTGGCTGCTTCTGCCGCAGTAACTGCAGCAACAGCAGCCTCAGCTGCGTGGAAGGAGCAATCCAGCCTTCCCTGATTTCTGTCCCAGGGGTTCCCAACCTGTCCAAGGAGCCAGCCCTGCTCCAGCCGCCCAGGCAATGTGGGTGGTAAGAACTGTTCCCCCCCCTGCTGAAAATAAACCTGGAAACGGCGCTGCAGGGAAGGGCCAGACCCTGCTGGGGTGGGAACAGCCCCTGGGTGGGGATGCCATTCTGCCTCTGCCGGTGTCAGCAGCTGCCCTGGAGTTCCTTTGGGGTGCTTTAGGGGGTCAAATTCAGGCACAACTCGAAGTCCAGACCTTGTTAAGGAAGCCCAGGCTCCAGAGAGGCCTTGGCAGAGGTGCTGCTGCTCCTCCAGGACGGGTCCTCGTGGGCTCAGCTCCACTCCCACAGGTGCATGTGCGTGGGGAGGGGGCACAGATGCTTTTGGCTTCTCCCTCAGTGCCCAGGCCGTGCCTGTGTGATGATGGGCTGCCCTAAAGCCACTTCTCACGCAGCCTTTTCTGACCTGCACTGCTTGTCCTGCTCCTCATCCTGTGCCCGGATCAGGCCCAGCGCCAGGACTCACAACTGTGTCTGGTCTCTTTCAGGGGGACCCCGATTGTTTCACTTTATACAGTGCGTTGTTGTTCTTCTTCTACTTTTCGCAGCAACTCGTATTTAACTCAGTCACAAACTGCCTGGGACCACGCAAGTTCCTGCACAGCGGGAAGCTCTATAAAGCCAAGAGTAACAAGGAGCTCTATGGTTTTCTGTTCAACGACTTCCTCCTGCTCACTCAGATCATAAAACCCCTTGGCTCCTCGGGCACAGACAAGGTGTTCAGCCCCAAGTCCAACCTGCAGTACAAAATGTACAAAACTGTGAGTACCTCTGCGAAACGGGGGCGGTGACAGGCCACGGGTGGAGGGCAGCAGCTCCCTGCGGGGGGATGTGGGCAAGACTGTCCCAGAGGAGAGCTTTGAAAGCTTTGGAATATCCAGGGACTGAGGGGGAGAAAGTTTGTGTGCTTCAGTGAGAAAACAAAACATGCTTTTGAAGTTTTGCTTGAACAAACCCCTCTAAGAGAGTGTTGCTTGTGTCAGGCAGCGATGGGGAGAGCGGAGTTCGCTGCTCTCTGTGGGGAAGGAGGGATTGCTGTGCTCCAGGAGCCTGCTGGCTTCCTCCAGGACAAGTGTTTCCAGGCTCTGGGGGCACCTTTGTCTTTGCCCAGTTTTAAAATGTTCTCATTATCAGGCCTGAGGAAAGATGGGAGGCAGAAGGGCAGAGGCACTTCAGATAACGCTGTTGTCACTTGCTGTGTGTTGAAAGCACCTGCTCAGACGCTGTGCGGTACAACTCTAGCTTTGCCTGATGTTTTACAGCCCATTTTTCTAAACGAGGTACTGGTAAAATTACCCACAGACCCTTCTGGAGATGAGCCCATCTTCCACATCTCCCACATTGACAGAGTCTACACCCTCCGGGCTGAAAGCATCAATGAGAGGTAGGAGTCTCCAAAGGCCGTGTTGGGGGGGGGTTTGGGAAGTCTGGTGCAAATGGAGGATGGGAATGGTTATGGTGGAAACCTGCAGAGCGGTCTCCAAGCAGGTTCTTTTACAAGACTGGAAAATTCCTTTTTCCTGAGAATATGGTGATACATGAAAAGCAGGGAGGAATAGTGATGTTTCCTGAATTCCAGCAAGAATGAGCTGTCTGGGAGGGTGGGTATTTAGGCCATATTTCACAGCATTTTATGTTCATGTGAAGAAGCCCAAAGATGCAGTTGTGTCTTCTGTTACCAGCTGTGTGTCTGTGCAGTGACAGCATTTCTGTGGCTGTTGAAGGAGATCAGGGAACAGGTCAGAGTTAGAATTTGAAGCAAAACCTACCAAACCAAACCCAGTGAGTTGATCTTGTTCAGTTCAGACTGAAAAAGTCAAAGGAAAGGCAATCTTAAAACCTGAGCTGATGGGTTTTATCTCTGGTGAGTTTACAGAGAGATTTCTACTGAAAAAGTTTCTCTTCCCCAGTGTAAGGTCTTGAAAGGGAACTTTTGTTAAGAACTGAAAGCTGGAAGTGCAGCAAAGCCCTCCCCATAGTGCAGGCATTGTGCTGTGCCAACTGGGAAATGTCTGGCCCCAAAACATTCTCGGGCACAAAATGTGTGAAACGTCTTGAGGCCGTGGCTGGGGCCAAGGGTTGGACTCAGTGATCCTCGTGGGTCCCTTCCCACTCAGGGCATTCTGTACTTCTGATTCATAGGCATGAAACGATTCCCCAGAAAGGCCCATAAGACACTGTGCCCGTTCACCATCCGTGCACCCCCCAAGTTATGTTTTAAATGTCCCAAGGGCCAAAGGATGAAACCTCAGGGATCAAGGAGAGGGGCCACCTCTGCAACCCAGGTGTCTTGTACCTACTGGCTACAAGAAGTTCATTATAATAAAGCAAAGGGCTTGCTGAAGGCAAACCTGTTCTTTCTACCTTTTGTTTTCTCACCAAGTGGCTCCTGCTTGTGGTTCTGTTGAGCTTTCTGCGTGTGGTGGGGTCTGCTGGCTTGGGATGGTTCTGTTTCTGCAGGTGCCATAAATTCCAGGAAGATCTCTTCCAGGCAGAGAGCTCTGGGACAGCAGAGGCTGGGATGGGGCCGGAGCCTTGGCTGGGAAGGAGGGACAGCTTTAGTTTTTTGTCTGCTGTGCTCCAGCAAGGAAAAATGGAAATGGCATTTTGCAACTTTGTTTTCTCCTTTCCTCCCGAAGGACTGCCTGGGTTCAGAAGATCAAAGCTGCTTCAGAACTTTACATAGAGACTGAAAAGAAGAAGAGGGAAAAGGCCTACTTAGGTACAGCATAGGATGAGGGGGTCTCCTCTTTTGTGGAGAAGTTCATGGGCAGGAAAATGCGTTGATGACTTTTCTCTCTTTTCTGTTTCACCGCAGTTCGCTCGCAAAGGGCAACGGGCATCGGGAGGCTGATGGTGAATGTGGTGGAGGGCATCGAGCTCAAACCCTGCAGGTCCCACGGTGAGTGCTGGGGTTTCTCAGAACGTGCTCCCTCAAAGGGACATTCACACCTGTCAGCCTGACGCTGGGGGAGCTGCTTCCCAAGCACCCCTGTGTTCAGTGATGTGGGTCTAACCCAGTAAAATATGAGCAGTGACTTTGTGCAGCTCAGCTGTTGTCCTGCAGTTGTCCTGCATCGGGCATTTGGTTCAGGCTGACTTGGTTCCCACCACATCAGCCACATCCTAAGGGGTCACAAGGCACAAAGTCCTGCAGGGGAGCAGTGTGTTCACTGTGATGTTCATGGAGTTCACCCCAAGGGCAGTGAAGCCAAGGTCTTTCCCACCTCAGTTGGCTGTAGGAGTGGAAGGAGACTGAGGACGAGGATCACACTGTTCTGTTTGTCCCAGGGAAGAGTAACCCCTACTGTGAGGTGACCATGGGCTCCCAGTGCCACATCACCAAGACCATACAGGACACCCTGAACCCCAAGTGGAATTCCAACTGCCAGTTCTTCATCAAGGACCTGGAGCAGGACGTGCTCTGCATCACGGTGTTCGAGCGGGACCAGTTCTCCCCGGACGGTGCGTAGGGGCTGCCAGAGGGATTGTCCAATCTCCTGCTTTGAGGAGGTGCATTTCCACGAGGGAAATCATAGGGAATGGGTTGGGTTGAAAGATGGTTTTTAAAGACAGCCAAATTTGAAGCCTTTTGCATACTGGGAGATGGCTCATCCCTGCTCCCTAGTGGAGTTGTGCCGGTATCAGTGCAAAAAGAATCCATCTCTCTCTGGTTTTTGGGAGTTTCTTTTTTCATGCAACTTGGCAACAACTAAAGTGATTTGTAACTCTGCTAAGTCTCAAAAAAACTCTGGATGCTGTTTGCAAACAGATTGATTCCTGCAGGAGGAAGATAAATGCCTCCAAGTTCCTGTTTGTGCAGTAACAGAGGCAAAGATGAACCCAGGATTCCAAACCCAGTAGAATTATGGGATGGTTTGGGTTAGAAGGGACCTTAAAGATCACTTAGTTCGACCACCTGCCCTGGGCAGGGACACCTTCCACCAGCCCAGGTTGCTCCAAACCCCATCCAACCTGGCCTTGGACACTTCCAGGGATGGGGAGTCCACAACCTCTCTCAGTCTGATTTCATAACTGGGATAAACATGTGGAGCATCAGTGAGTGTATTTTGGAGCCGTAATCTCCCAGGCAGTGTTTGGATAGGACCAGCACTGCCACGGCCAGCACCACTTGGCCGGGTGACCTCATTGCTGTTGTGAGGCACTGCTTGGCTCTGCCATCTCCAGAGGGTTCACACTCAGGTTTAACTGTGCAGCAGCTTTTGGCCTTTTTCTAACACGTCATAAACCCCAGAGGTCGCTGGAGTGAGGCAGCTGTGAATTCCGTAGGGGGATCTCCACACGTTTACTTTGAGTACTGCTGCTGTGTGACATGGTCTGGCCAAACCCTTCTCTGTGCAGCTTGGCAGCCTTTGTCAGGGGCAAAACCAGAGTCAGACTGCAGACTTGTGTCTTCCTTTTGTTGTGTGGGGACGGAACTTTAGTTCCTCCTCCCGGCTCCGGTCGTGCCACTCCCCAGCATTCCCTCCTTTTGCCTTCCAGACTTCCTGGGCAGGACGGAGATCCGTGTGGCTGACATCAAGAAGGATCAGGGTTCCAAGGGGCCAGTCACGAAGTGTCTCCTCCTGCACGAGGTGCCGACGGGCGAGATCGTTGTGCGGCTGGACCTGCAGCTGTTCGACGAGCCGTAGGAGGGCCGTGCTGGGGTCCGGTCGAGTCCGCTGCGATCCGTCGGTGTCCGCGGGAGCTGCCGCAAAGTCCTTGCCGGCGCAGCAGGAAACCGCTGCTCGCTCTTTGCACCTCAGAGGGTTATCAAAGCAAACAGGAGCATCTTTGTGCCTTGATAATTCTCACTGAAAACACGAATCCCCGGTCTGGCGAGGAGATCTCCCTCGATCTCTCGACGTGGAACTTGGCGTTGGTCTCCTGGGTGGATGAAACGACCCTGTTGGTTCCTTGTAGCTCCGGTGGGAAGGGCTGGCAGACCACAGAGGTGGCTGTGCTTGCTCCAGTTGCCCTACTCTTGAATTCCCACGGGGAAGGCAATGTTGGGGTGTTTGGGAGGCTTTCTGCAGGGTTTTCCCGTGAAGGAATTCTGTGCCTATTGCTCAGCAAAGTGGGGTGTAAATCGGATGTGAATGGAAGGAGAAGTTTTGCAGCAAGAAGATCTTTGAAGATCTTCACGATGGTACTGAAAAGACTTAGAAAATAAATAGTCTATATCTATAAACAGAGAAGATTCTATTAACAAACCACTTCATGACTTGCATTGCCCCTGAAAATAAATGATGTCCAGGCCTCCTGCACAGAGATGAATTGCACTCCAGAAGAGTCCGCCCCCCTCGGTACCTTTGGAAGCGGTTGTTGTCCACGGGACTGTAAATGTTGGCACAGGAAGCCAAGGGTTAAGCACAGAGCCCTGCTGTGTGTCCTGCTGTACCACTCAGATACTCCTTTACTGCTGCTGCCCAGGTGGGTGATCTGTCACCTGCAGTGGGGAAGAAAAAACAATCACGGCTCCAGCTCAGGAAGGGAATTCCCAGCCCACGGAGTGCGGTTTCAAAGCAATCAGTGGTGTCCAGGTACTGGCTTGCGCTGGGCTCACCTGTGTGGGACAAGGTGTGATGGGAGCGGGGCAGCAGCTCGCAGCGGTCGGTGGCTGTGCTGGGTGTGACCGGAGACAGAGCCTGGGACGGTGCAGAGCGGGGAACCCCAAAGCCCTGTGACCCCGGGGAGCGCCAGGGCTTGCCTGTCCATCCGGCTCCATGGACACGCCCGTCCAGGCCCACAGCCCTGCTTGCAAAGCACCAGCGCCCAGCGGGCTCTTCCGTCTGGAGTCCCCGGAGCACCCGCGGAAGGGCTCTGCTGAGTCTGGACTCGAGAGGGAAACGAGCCCCGAGAGTCAAATTCCTCTTTGTTCTGCTTGGATTCATTCTGTCCATGCCCTGCCCACGCATCCACTGGTATTTTTGTAAGGACTTCATTCCGGATGGGAGGTGCCAGCCCGTGTCATTCGCATGTGAACGTTCTCGTGGAGCCTGTTGTTGGGTTTTGGTGTTCCTTGCATGTCCTTCAGTCCTGGTTCCCACCTCTCCTGTGTTGGTGGTGTTCTCTAGCACTACAAGTCTTATTGGTTTCCATTAGGAAATTAGGATATATCCATAACAGGTAGGTAGATCCGTATGGTAATAAGTGTAAACTGTGCTGGGAAGTGTCTGTGTATTATAATTTCCTAAAAGACCACTGTAATGTTTCAAGCAATGGGAAGAAAAAAAAAAAAGTATGTTGGAGGGACAACAAAGTTTACATTTCATACTTTTCAGAATTGCTTTATTATTTATTTATTGAAGATAGTGTAGAATTTTGTATCAGAAATGACAGACATACTTATGTATTTTTTGAAACAAAACAGAGACACACACTTTAGTTAGAAACTTTCAACTGACCACATTTTAGAGGGAGTGTAACTTCCTAGGCATGCATTTGTTTACCACTAACTGGCTGAAAACACGATTAAGAGAACTTTAGGTTTCTATTTTTCAATGTTGTTAAGAAAATTGTTTCAATTAAAATATGTAAATAGTACTAAACCCATGCTTTCCTAATTCCATATCAAGACATTTTATGAAATATAATGTATATGAAAATACACATTGTTGTGGTAGGATAAAAAAAAAAAGTGATAAAATCTATTACTGGAGTAACATTAAATGTCATTGTCTAACCTTTGATCGCTGTCCTAATTTTACTCAACTGCCAATATGGGGAACATTCATTTCAGGGTTTCACAAGTGCCATCACTTTCTGATGGGATCATTTCACCAGCATCAATGACAGTAACATCTAAGTGGACAAAGGGGACAAAAAATCCGTGGCTGTAACGCAGAAACCCTGGGCAGGTTCTTGGAAGGAGCCCCAAGGAGCTGAACCTGCTGAGGCTCAGCTGGAGCTGGAAGGGGGGGACCCTTCCCTGCAGGCTGTGACCCCTGACAAGGGCCTAAATCCCAGAATCCCACACTAAATCCGAGAATCCCGGACTGGTTTGGGTTACAGAGAAGGATGTCTAGGAAATAGGCATTTTGAAATTATTTTTTTTTATTTTTAACTGGTCACCCCCCTGAGACAAGGAACCCCCAAACTCGCTCCCCACACCCTCAGGACAGCTGCTCGAGGCTGAGAAGGGAAACGTTAAACTGCTCCCTGAACCCCCCAACTGTTGGGTTCAAACCACCTTGAGTGTTTCTCTGAGCACGATTAAAAACTCCCACTCCCTAAGGAGAAAGGGATGTCCCCCTGCAGGGGATTTTAAGATGTGCAGCCAGAGTAAATCCCT